TCAAGGATTTTGACTTCGGGCAACACCATGCCAAAACCCGGGTAGGAAATTATATCTACACTGCAGTGCAAATGGCGGCTGTCCATCGTCAAATTCCAATTGACTTGTTCTTCCTTATATAACTTTTTGAGAGAGATATTTTATATTTTAATAGATTTCGGAGAAACTTTTAAGCGCAAAATATTTTAATTTCTATGTAAAGTTTATTACCTGTGTGTCGACCTGCAGGATCGGCAAATTTGGTTTTCCAAATTCAATAAGTGAAGTTCTGTCAAGGTTTTTGACTTTGGGCAACACGATGCCAAAACCCGGGTAGGAAATTATACCTACACTGCAGTGCAAATAGCGGCTGTCCATCGTCAAATTCCAATTGACTTGTTCTTCCTTATATAACTTTTTGAGAGAGATATTTTATATTTTAATAGATTTCGGAGAAACTTTTAAGCGCAAAATATTTTAATTTCTATGTAAAGTTTATTACCTGTGTGTCGACCTGCAGGATCGGCAAATTTGGTTTTCCAAATTCAATAAGTGAAGTTCTGTCAAGGTTTTTGACTTTGGGCAACACGATGCCAAAACCCGGGTAGGAAATTATACCTACACTGCAGTGCAAATGGCGGCTGTCCATCGTCAAATTCCAAATGACTTTATTTAGTCCTGACTGGCTCACTGTTCCAATCAACACAACGATCATTAACACAAAAACCGTAGAATACTGTTTATACATATTGTATTAACTGTTAGAAATCCTTTGAAACAGGAAAAATTAGCAAAAATGGTTTGGAGAAATATGTTGTTTTACACTGAAATGGTGCGGCGATACAAATGTAATATTAACATAAATAGTAACAGTTACAATATAAACAAGCCGTTTTTAATACATATGTACCTATATTAAGAGTATTTGCCAGCATATAAATAAGTATATAATATGTTTTTAAATAACATATGTGTTACTTTTTCTTTTTTGAGTGCCGTATTCGTATATGTTAGACTTATCTTCTAAGACTAATTTCCAACCCATACATTTTATGAAAAAAATTGTGTTTTATTTTATAAAATATTATTTTACACTAATTCCTTATAACTATATAGGTATATTGTAGGAAAATGTATTTATTATTTTATCGGGTGAGCACTGTATTAGTTTACTCTCAAAATAATTGTAATTTTTTAGTTTTTATTTTTGAAAACATTTTTTAACACAATATTAAACAATGTTTAAATTTTTATCTTATTTTTTTTTCAAAATTTTTTAGAGCTTTATCGACCTTTAAAACTTTATATTTATTTAGTTAACTATATAAGTGTTTAATTAATATTTTAAATTAAGAATAATTTACTAAAAACATTGTTTGATAATCAATTTTGAATAATCATTTTAAAGTTCTTAGGTTTTTAAGATTAATCAACTCTTATCCTAAATTTGTAGTACATTATTCTCAATTTAAAAAGTTAATGAAATGTTTGTGTTGCCATTTAAGTTTCAAATGTCGATAAAGCTCTAAAAAAATACTGCAAATATAAAAATTTGAATATTAAAAAATTGTTTTAAAATTAAAAACTTAACTAAATTTTAACAATTTTAAGAGAAAACTGGTGTAAAGAATCGGCCGGTATATCCTAGAAGTTCTCAATTCTTTTATTATCATAAAAAAAACCGAGTGAGCCGTGGAAATTACTCACAATAGTTATGTGTAAAAATTTTTAGTTTTTAAGTGTGGCATAATAAGTACTACATACAAGAGATGATTCAATGTTAATACCAGGAAATTCACATAAAAGAATATCTTTTGAACAATGTGGAGCAGTGGAGGTTTTAGCTTCGATGCAAAGCGAGAAGGTTTTACTCTGATGTGGGCTTTTTTTTTCGCTGTATACACTGTAACGTTTATAATACTAGACCAATTCCTTCGAATAGCAACTCTATATATCACAAATTTTGCCTAGTGAACTTTTACTGGCTATAATTTCGAGAAAAAGAGTCGGATCGAGTTGAAATGTATAAGAAATATTTATCTGATATGCCCGCACACGTCAATTATGTCAAATTTAAACTATACCCATTTCCCACCCCCCTAGGGGGGGTACAAGTTTTTTTCTTTTTCGGGGTTTTTAGCCGTAATTTTAAAACTTTTGGGTTGAAAATTTGCCAGTAGTTGGAACTCATATGTATCCATAACATATTAAACGGGTGAAAAATTCGCCAATACAGTTTTTTTTTAATTGCCGGAAAACTGTGTTTTCGCAGATTGCGTATATTTTAACAAAAACACCTAAAATCTTTAATCAAAATTGATCAAATCATTAAAAAATTTTTATGTATATCTATGCAGAATGATACTATTTAGTTTTGTGCTCAAGTACCACTTTTGACTTAAAGTTTACACAAATTCAATTTTTTTTTTTTTTACTCAAAACCCGGTGTACCAGATGTGAGAAACGAACAGACACTAAAATTTATCAGTTGGTAACGTCTATCCGTGTTAGATTAGGTTAGGGCCCAATGATCGGTACCATAATATTGTGTTTATTACACGATATCACAGACGACTAAATCGTGCAGCTGATTATAGTAGACAATCGATTTATTGGGAAAAAAACCTATCCGTGTACTTAAGACACTTAATGATTCTGATACGACAAAACCACTGTCGTTATCTCGTTATTTTATAGCCTGCATTATATAACCTTACCGAAGGTCAACTATGAGTATATAAGGTCCAACTACCTGCAAATTATGAAGAGGACTGTTGTTTTTTGGATTCAGATTAAGTGTTGGTTTTTATGCAGTACCGGGTGATTGGTTAACTATGGACCACTCAATATCTTAGAAGATATTAGACTTTTTTAATTATTTTTTTTTTGTACTATTATAGTTATTAGGTGGGACAAATTTAATGTATTTTTCAAAATTTTAACACCATCCCTTATGCGTTAAAACCATATCAACTTTAGATTTTTAAATGGTAACCCCCAATTTTTTTTGATGATCGTGTTTATTTTTTTTTAATTTAATTTTAGGTGTAAAAACTAGCTAAATCAGACAAGTACTTTTAAAGTTATAGCTTAGTACTACACTATTATAATATTAGCTTATATGAGATGCTTTTATAAGTTTTACAGCTAAAGAAAAAAATCGTTTATCGCCGGATCTCACGTTTCACAAAATAAGATTGATTAACGACACGGTTGTAGATTAAAGTTAATAGTTGACGGTCGTCGGTCACAATGAAAACGAACTAATAATAAATCTATAATAATATTTATATAGGTAATGTCTTCTTATCTGTTTTTTCTGTAGTGTTCCTAGCGGTGCGGTGTACCTGTACGTATTGAATATTAGGCATTAGCTGCTGTTAACAAACAATATTATAAGCCCTAGTAAATAGTTTTTTTTTTCAATTTCAACCATAGGTTACCGTGGTCTAATCACGGTGTTATATAAAGTGTATACCGTGGTTCTACCAAAACAATTCGTTACTAGCGTAGATTAATATCAACACAGAACAAATTATTATAAAAATACGACTACTTGAAAACTAATCAAAAAGTTCATTATTCTAATTTTTCAATTATTATGGTTATTTAGCGTCTTGGTTTTTACTTTAAATATTTAGCGTCTTGGTCTTAATAAGTATTACTTGTACTGGTGTCTTAACTAATCAAATTATTAATTCTGTTAGTGAAAATATTTTTAAAAAAACTAATAAATAACATTTAATTTTTTGTTTTTTTAGTATAATATTGTATTACATACAGTTAATAGATAATATGTACAGAATATATACAGAAATAAACAAAAACTAAACTTAATATGTACAGAAACTATTTTAGCATTTTTGTTCGAACTGGTTTATGATAGGTACATAAGATGTCAAACAACATCTTTATAAGGCATCTATTGTGTTTATTAAAATGTTTAGATAACAAAGGATTCCATAAGAAATACGTTCATCCAATACTTGTGCACTAAAATAAATTTTCATTTTTATAATTTAAAGTTGTAACGCGTCAATTTTAACTATTTCTAGTTCAGTATTTTTAATTATTAAAAGCTGTATTTATTTATTACCATTTTTATTCTTTATTATATTACCACCTTAAGCCTATACTGCATATATTTCATAGTATTGACTATTCTTACTTATTTTAATGTGTTCATATGAACAGTAAAAGTATATTTCTTATTTAATAAATGGTTGTTTTTCTCGTTGTACGAGGTATAAGCAAAAATTTAGAGTGAATGATAAAGTACAATTTTTTTTGTTTTTGTACGGCTTTTTTAACAGTCATAAGCTTAAAATTCAATAATAATATTACTAACAAACATTTAAATACTATATTATGTTATGTTTATTATGATAATAGTAAAATAAAAAAACAAGTAACAAGATAAATAATACGCTTATAAGATACGAATAAACATTTTTATTTGCTAAATCATATTAAAAAACTAAGACTAATAAAATTAACATATCTATAATTAACTTGTAAATAATAGAGGTACAACATATTGCTGTATATAGTGATGTAGTTATAGGAAGTTATCTAGGGCGGTAAAGTTTGTTTGATGATTTCCCACTAGAAGAAATCCATCTCCATTTACATATTTAAGTTAAAAAATATTTATAAGTATATTCATTCAATTTACTTTTTTACACTTAATCCCATAGTTAACATTTTTTTTTTCTATTTTGTGTTTTATAATTTTATTTACTTTATTACTTATAAAAACTTAATCGTAAACCACTAGAAAATTGTCAATAAATTCTGTAATAGCTAATGCCAAAACTATGCCATCATGAAAATAATTTCAAGATTTGGATTAAGACAATAACATATTTTAGAAATATTAACATTCTCGGCAGCATTTTAGATTAAATTAATATTAAATAAAGAATTCATCATTAATAATTAATAAATAATGTATAATAATTATAGATATGTTAAGTATATGTGTGTTTAAATACTTAGAGTTTAAAAACTTTATGTCACTTTTAAAATGATAAAGTACTTTTAAATTATTTTATTGAATTACATCTTTAGCTGAATAACTAAATATATATAGTTGTCTAATATTTGATTTGAACTTGTGAATCCATCTTATTCTTCTTACTGACTTAATGGAAAACCGTTATCTGCAATAGTGTGCCACAGTAACTAAAAAATAATAATAATAATAAATTGTTAGAGATGAATTCATAGAAATTAACTAAGTTATTGCAAGCTGATGATCTTATATATTTTACCTTAAAATAAAACACCTATAAATTTACTGAAAATTGAATACCACAACATTCGACAATGTATTGATGGAATTAGTTTAGACTGATTGACTACAATAATATAATACACCAAATTTGACGTTGGTAGTAGTGTAGTTGTAGACAATAACAAATATCAATTTAAGTTGAGATAGTCCATATTAATATTGAACATACTGAAACATATAATTAAAATAAATTAAATAAGTTTCTTAGATACTTAAATAATCATATGGTTAAGCAACAAATATCAGTATACACATATATTTTTTATAATTATACAAGTATGATAATTTTTAAGTTAAACGTTAATTTTAGTAACGCATTATAATTAAACATATTAAGTATGATAAACATAAGTAATCCAAAAAATGTATTATGTAAAAACATTTTATATGTTCATGAATAATAAAAAAAGATTAATTATATTTTTCTAATAAAAAAATGTACTTATACAATACACCTATATCAATAAATACATTATCTTACCTATTATTGATTCAGTAAACGATGATTGAAGATTCAATTTTTTCATAAAAAATTTTATATTTTTTCTTTGAATTCAGATACCAATATGTTAAAACACAAAACTACACATTTATAAGTTTCTCAGAACAAAGACATAATACTGTAAAAATAAAAGTTTTAATTAAAATATCATCAAGCATAATTCAAATTATAATAATTTTTTTTTTAAATAACATTTTATTATTATAAGTACCTTTAATTTTGATATTTGATGTGCATACATTTTATAAGTAAGGTTTTAGGTTTTATAGACTTGTCACTTGAGCAAAACTCCATCTTGGTATTCACATTGATTATGGATATTTAATATCAATGTTATTATTTAAAACACAATAAATGTTGACAAGTTCATAGATCTAGACTCTAGTAAGTTATGATACTATATTATTATAATATACTATGAAATTAAGACGTACAAATCGCAAGAATAAACAAAATGTGTCAAATTAACCAAAACAAATAATTGCTAAATGCTGGAAAAATATACACAAGATATTGATAACAAATAAAACATACCTACTATTTTACAAAATAAATGTAAAAGTGTGTAGTGGTGGTATATTTGTCAGTCGATATAGCGGTTATCATTATTATTTACTATCGGTGAATTATTTACCTAAAGTAAATAGTGTTTGGTACGGTTATGATTTTTAAACGCTACAATAGCTATTGTCAAAGTTAATTGTCAATAAATAATAACAGAGAGCAGTCACATTAATATGTTAGCGTCTCCAAGATATTTAATTTATTTTTTACACTCCCTTTAATTTTAAAACTGTGTAGCTCGTTAACTACTCAATCGATTTAGCTAGTTTTTACGCCTAAAATTAAATTTAAAAAAACCAGTACAGTGGGGTCGGGGCATAGTGGGGACGGAGCATAGTTGGGTCGGGGCATATTGGGAACGGGGAGGTCACAGGTTTACAGGAATTTTTAAATCTGAAAGTGATAAAATCACTTTCGAAAAAACGCTTCGATGCAAATCGGTAGTTAGTATTTTCAAGCCAGTACAGTCCAAACCAAGCACAGTATAAACCAGCAAAGTTAGAAAGTTTTAAATGAAGATTCTGTATTTACAAATGAGCATCAAAGCGTTTATTTAAAAGCGATTTTATCCGAGAGGACTAGTACAGTAGAGTATTGGCATAATGTAATCAAAGCAATGAGGAAACGGAGTGGTCACAGGTCTACAAGAATTATTATAAATAAAAGTGATAAAATTGAATAAAATCGCTTTCAAATAAACGCTTTGATGCTCATTTGTAAATACAGAATCTTCATTTAAAACTTTCTAACTTTGCTGGTTTATACTGTGCTTGGTTTGGACTGTACTGGCTTGAAAATACTAACTACCGATTTGCATCGAAGCGTTTTTTCGAAAGTGATTTTATCACTTTCAGATTTAAAAATTCCTGTAAACCTGTGACCTCCCCGTTCCCAATATGCCCCGACCCAACTATGCTCCGTCCCCACTATGCCCCGACCCCACTGTACTGGTTTTTTTTTTTTTTTGCAAAAACTTAGTGGACCAAATAACACATATACAATGTCTTGTTATATTTTGTTGGAATGGTCGACGATTCATGTTTCAATCGTTTGTACTCCATAGTTTAAATTATAATCGCTTATTCTCAATAAAATTAATATTTATGTATTATATACTTCCATTAAAGCAATCTCAAACAAACTATTTATACTTCACAGATTATATTATTTCAAAGCTATATTATACTTCTATTTTACTAGATTGACAATGTACAAAATAAAATGCAACTAAAAAAACCTTTTCATAGATCCTTAAAATGTAAAGGGTGGGATAGTGAAACGGGTTTTTACCATTTAAATACATTAGAAAATCGCCGTTTTACTGCCTCATCCTGTATATTAATTTCTTGTTATTTTCTAAAGAAAAATCGATTTTCTTACATTTAAATTAAAATAAATCGTATACTGGTACTGTGATGGAGAAAACAATAAATTTTACCTACATTTATTACTTATTAGTTAAATATTACTAACATGTATAGCCACTAGCGGTCGGCTGTTGCCTGTTATTTAACAATAACCTATTATGGAGATTTTAAAAATTGTGTTTTTTTAATAATAGCATAGGAGCAGTATCATGATATTAAATGTTCACGAGATCTGATCTAGTCACAAAATAAAGTATTATCATTTATGACTTAATTATTATTAAAATTTATCTTAATAGTAATGGTACATAGTAATAAAATAATGAAATATTTTTTACAAAATTAGAGCTACAAGTTGATAAACTAAAAAAATAAAATTAGCACGAAGCAGATTATCTAATATTAGACAATTTAAACAATCAAGCGTGAATCTCTTTAAATGAATAACAGTATAACAATATACAAAACATAAGTTTTCCTTTAAAAAAATTGTGTAATAAAAAAAACATTTTGAGGCGGTATACTGCATAAAAACCAACACTTAATCTGAATCCAAAAAACAACAGTCCTCTTCATTATTTGCAGGTAGTTGGACATTAAATACTCATAGTTAACCTTCGGTAAGGTTATATAACGCAGGCTATAAAATAACGAGATAACGACAGTGGTTTTGTCGTATCAGAATCATTAAATGTCTTAATAAGTACACGGATAGGTTTTTTTCCCAATAAATCGAGTGTCTACTATAATCAGTTACACGATTTAGTCGCCTATGATATCATGTAATAAACACAATATTATGATACCGATCATTGGACCCTAACCTAATCTAACACGGATAGACGTTACCAACTGATAGTTTTTAGTGTCTGTTCGTTTCTCACATCTGGTACACTGGGTTTTTAGTTAAAAAAAAAAAAAAAAAAAAATTGAATTTGTGTAAACTTTAAGTCAAAAGTGGTACTTGAGCACAAAACCTAATAGTATCATTCTGCATAGATATAAATAAAATTGTTTTAATGATTTGATCAATTTTTTTTAAAGATTTTAGGTGTTTTTGTTAAAATATACACAATCTGCGAAAACACAGTTTCCCGGCAATTAAAAAAAAACTGTAGTGCCGAATTTTTTCCCGTTTAATATGTTATGGGTACATATGAGTTCCAACTACTGGCAAATTTTCAACCCAAAAGTTTTAAAATTACGGCTAAAAACCCCGAAAAACAAAAAAACTTGTACCCCCCCTAGGGGGGCGGGAAATGGGTATATTTTGAATTTGACAAAACTGACGTGCGCGGGCTTACCAAATAAATATTTTTTAAACATTTCAACTCGATCCGACTCTTTTTCTCGATACTATAGCCAGTAAAAGTTCTAACTTAAAAACTCGTACGGTTTTTTTTTTGTTTTTTTTCAACTTTCGTCTGTGAAGACTTAAACTTTTTCAACTTTTACCCCCCCAAAGTACAAACTAGACAAAATTTGTGATTTATAGAGTTGCTATTCGAAGGAATTGGTCTAGTATTAAAAAAGTTACAGTGTATACAGCGAAAAAAAAAGCCCACATCAGAGTAAAACCAATACCTTCTCGCTTTGCATCGAAGCTAAAACATTTTTCTGGATTTTTGTGTAAAAGACATCAAAAGTGGTCAAATTATATGTTTTTTGGGTCGGTGAGGTTAGGTTAGGTTAGGTTAGGTTAGGTTAGGTTAGGTTAGGTTAGGTTAGGTTAGGTTAGGTTAGGTTAGGTTAGGTTAGGTTAGGTTAGGTTAGGTTAGGTTAGGTTAGGTTAGGTTAGGTTAGGTTAGGTTAGGTTAGGTTAGGTTAGGTTAGGTTAGGTTAGGTTAGGTTAGGTTAGGTTAGGTTAGGTTAGGTTAGGTTAGGTTAGGTTAGGTTAGGTTAGGTTAGGTTAGGTTAGGTTAGGTTAGGTTAGGTTAGGTTAGGTTAGGTTAGGTTAGGTTAGGTTAGGTTGACTGGTAAAGTCCTATCCCCACCTCCACGCGGTGCCAGTTGGTAACGGCCCTTAATTGGGTTGGCTAACGGGGAAGGCGACTTAGAGCCGGCCCTTACTTTAATTAGTTGGGGTCGGCGAGGCAGGTGGTTCGCCTTTGGACAGAATAAAGGACCACAACCCGGCGGCGGGCATACCGCAAGGGGAAGGAGACCCCACAAAACCACCATGGAAGACAACTTATTAAGTATAGTCCATACCGCACCAGTCGCCATTCGGATGACGGAGACAGGTGACGTCGGCGGGGGTTCCAGTAGCCCGGCTCCCGTTGACGCCGAACAAGGGCGAGCGAAGTGGAGGCCCCACACCCATTTGGATGTACCTTGCGATGCGGCTTGCTTAGCCAATTCGCAAGGGTACATAGACGAGAACAACCCAGAGAGAGGGAAGAATACAGAGGGAAAAGAAGTTTGTAACCCGAAGGACATCATCCTAGAGAAGGAAGACAGAACATGGAAGGAACTAATCGAAAATTTCAAGGCTATTGCAGAAGTTGCACGCCAGCAAAACTGCCACAAGTCAGTCAAGCAGTCAGTACGAAAGATCGACCCACTACTTAAGCAATTGGAAGGCTACCGAGGAAATTTCCGAAAGGACTTTGGGAAGGGCGAAGGCCCGACCAAACGGAAGGAGAGAGACGATAAAACGCCGAGCCCGACGAGGAAAATCTTGCCCTGGAGCGCGGTGACCAGTATTGGGAGAACCCCACCTTTTAGGGGTGGAAAATTTTCGGTGGCATCAACCTCCATTCTACGCCGACACCACGAGTCAAACTGGAATGAGGACGTTCTAGCTGACCAAGAGAAGACGTTCCGAGACCAGACTCAGGAGATCGTCGATCGGCTGGAAGCGATGCATGAACTACAACAACAGCAAATTGCGGAAATGAAAAAAGTACAAGAACAGCTGCAAGAAGAAATAAAGGAACTGAAAAAAGAAAAGCTGCGTGGTCCTGAAAAACGGACAAGAAAACAACGGCGGAACAACGCACATGCCGGAAACGGGTTAGAGAATAAGGAGCCCATCACACTCTATGAAATCACAGAAGAGGAAGGGATAACCCCAACCCGAAGAACAAAACAAGGAAAACAGGTCATACCAATACTGCAACCTGAACTAGGCGTGGAGCCACTTGAGCCACTTGATTTACCAACGGCAGAGCAACACAGTGGTGAAAATATGGAATGGAAGAAAGTCAGCAAACGACGAAAGAAAAAGAACCTCGCCAAGGTCACGCCGGACGCAGTTATCGTAAAATGTACAGAAAATCGAACGTATGCTGACACACTAAAAAACTTGAAGAAGAATCTAAATGACGCTGGGCTAGCAAACGAAGTAGCAACGGCAAGGGAAACAAGGGACGGAAACTTGCTCCTCCAAATGAGGAAACGCACGACCAAAACCTCCCAGGTGAAAACAATCGCAGAAAGTACGACCGGAGTTGAAACCCAGGTCAGAACAACGAACGTTGCGGTCGAGATACGC